CCCACCCATCGCCATTCATCATCCATCATCCATCATCCATCATCCATCCTATGAGCACCAATAATGCGAGTAGAACATAAACACTTGGAGAAAACTATCTGTTCTTGATAACGCATGCTATCTGACTTTATCACCATACATCATAAAGAGAGACTGATCAGTTACAAAAAAGCTACTTTTTTTCAAAGATATGAAATGAGTTCTTCACATAAAGACTTCAGAGACAACCATCATTGCTAGAAGACCAAAATGGTCAATGTACAAATCTCAATGCACTGTGTACAAGCCATTATAGCAAGATATCCAGAAGAAGAGAGAGGGGATTTTACCTTCTAAAGGCTAAGATCAACTCAATGAGATGAAAAGGGGGAAAGAAACTATAGAGTTTCACACAAACAAACAATCACAATTAGTCGAAAGTTTATAAGTAGAAAAAGTGAAGAAAAAAAACCCTAAAAAGATCTTGAAATATACCAAACATTTTCTTGGATTCAAGTCATGTTTAAACTTAGAACTTGATACATCCATGGAGGCTGTTTGAGTGATCTATCTGAAGAAGAACTGTTGTTCCTTCTGTTGCCACTCAAAAAACTTGAATTCTCTCTTGTAATTCTCTCTATTCTCTTTATATGACTTGAGCCTGTAGAAGATGATGAAAAACTCGGCACCGAATCCGATGATTCGGGCTTATTCGTCGTTCTTCGTCTCCGGTTAAAACTCGTCGGGCCTAACGTCAGCTCGATTTCGCACTCGTCTTCCTCGATTTCTTGATCGTTTAATGTTTCTGTCACATGATCTTGAGCATAGTCTTTAGTTGCAGGCTGTTCCAAATCAAGCTTGTTCTTTTGTTGTTGATAGTTGAAGCATATGTTTTCTTGATCTTGCATGTTCTTCATGAGCATCTTCTGTATTTGATACAATCTGTGAAGTTCATATACCTTGAACAAATAAAAAAACTAATCAACACCCATTTTCAATAATCATTTTTAAACACAAAATCTATGAAAAACCTAAAGTTCACACACACACACACACACATATATATATATATATATGTATGTATACATACCTGTTCTTTGAAGGTTTGTTCATGCTTCAACATGGCCATCTTCATGCATTCTTTATCATATGTCTGAACAGATTGGTCCATTCTTATCCTCTCCGATCCAATCTTCGATCCAAAAGATCCGAATAAAAATCGAATTCTGTGTTGCTAAGATTCCAATCTGCTACGAGCTGCATTTGTATATGTATATATATACATATAGATTTAGAGATTGCATGGCTCCATTGTAACACAAAAAGTTAAAGAAAGAGTTGAGGTGAAGATTCCTTTTTGGTTTGTTTGTATTCATACCATCAATCTAAATGCTTATCTGCACCACCTTCCCTCTAATAATTATCACCACAAGAAAGAAACTTTTGATCCATTTTCATTATTTTTAATGGCAAATTTCAAAAAACTATGATCATAACAAGCGATGAACTCAAGATCACTGATCATGCATCGTTTAAAGATCCGATTTTTTATGCGAATGATTGAAAAAGAACACGAAATCAAACACGAAGATCACGTATCGACACAACGATGAAGTAAACAAAAGGGAATATGTATTCAAGATTTACGTGAAAACCCAAATTGGAAAAACTACTAAAAAGAACTGATCAACATCAATCATATCATATCAAACATGAAGCAATTATACGGTAAAAGTTTTGACCTTTTGTGGGAAATAATTTGCAAAAATGGTGAAGAACAAGACGATCAGAAATTAGGGTTTTCTAACCTTTTTGGAAGTGTCCAAGATTGAAGTAAGTTGGCAGTGAAGGGGAGGTTGGTTTTCAACTCAAGTGTTTCTAGTGATTATGTGTCCAAGAAGATGAAGAAATAAAGCAAAATAGAGGGGGTGGGGGGGGGGGTAGGGGGGTAAGGTAGGGTAGGGTGGGGGGGTTGTCTCTTTCTTTGTGTTGCTTACAACTCAGAGTTGTAATAGAGAATGGCCACAAACAGCTAATCAGTTATGGTTAAGACGCATGATCATATAACTTAAGCGTGACACCTTTACAACCCTCATGTTCAGAGTCTTTTAAATTGTTGGGTATTAAGGATTCATATGTTTTTTTAATAAGAATTACATCAAAATCTGATACTTAAACTATATTTTTATGTGTTTGATTCTTTTTATACATAAATTGTACAATAAGATTTAAAGATTATTCTAAACAACTAATAAATACTTGAGAGAAGAATAATGACATCTAGATCTGTTGTTTATATTAGCAGTAAAATGCATAAACATTCTAATAGAAGGCCAAAATAAAGAGTGTATATCTAAAAGTATTACAATAGGTTTATAGGACGTTTTTAGACGTTTTAAAATAAAGTATCATATTAGTTATTTTATACAACATTATTTGAAAAAAAAATGTCCTCTAAAAAATGGGTTTATAGAACACTTCTCAAAAAAAATTCTTGAGAAGTGTCCTATAAAATAATTAATAGAACACTTGGTTTTAAAAACGTTCTAAAAACTTGGTAAATATATCAAAAAACGTTATATAAACTTATTATAACACTTTTAAATATGATGTTTTATAGTTGATAAGTTCTATAAAGTATTTTATTAGAACGCTTAGACATTCTACGCATCTGTAAAATCAATTTTGTTAAGTTATAGTGTAATAAGTAGCAAAAATAAAATATTGTTTCCAAATTGTATTAAACGAGAACATGATCAATATAAAAGAAGTTGGACGTTTATATCTAATTTGATTTTGGACTTAAATTCACATTAATTCAGGTTCAGCCTACGCTGTTTAGGTTGTGAGGCCATATGTGCGTGTGCATCTCTCCAATAACTGAATTTGAACTAGATGTGACAAAAACATTCTCATATTCTATTATTTTAACCATTTTCTCACTTCAATCGTCATCCATCTCTCACTTTCTCCATATATATATATATAGAGGAGTGATCATATGAAAACCGCCTTTATTTGTGTAAACCGTGCAAACCACCTTTATCTGTCGATTTCATTGTTTAATCTTATGAAATTTTTTCATATAATATTTTTTTTGATGAAGTTGTTTCATATATGGTTGTGAAATTGTTTCATATAATACTTAATGGAACTGTTTCATGTATTTCTATAACATTAATGAAACTGTTTCATGTATTTCTCTAAAATTAAAATAATGAAGATGATAATATCTATGATTAACACCCTTCACAATAAAAATGATTAATCAACCT